GCTCCGGACTCGTGAATCTCAACCCAGCAGCAGCGGTAACGTTTGCACGTCCTCTCCCGTTAATGCGGCAGGTAAATAATCAACTAACAGTGCATATTGTGTTAGCGCGATCTGCCTTATTACAAACCTGCCATTACTGTGCATTTAGGTGATCGTGATGAGACAGACAGACAGAAGCTGTGTTCCAAAATGTCGGCTGCATCCTTCGGAGGACCCGGCCTTCGCGGCCTACGTGGGCCGGGTCCTTCGAAGACCGAGAAAGCCGGAAGTGCGAGGCTGTGAAACGGAACGGTCTAGCCTTCAGATTTGCGTCACCGCTGTGTCGGTGGACATTAATAAACTCGGCCGTCTGCTCCTTGCTATCTAAAATATAACAGGGCACTGGAGTAAACTCTCGACCGTCTCACACTTCTGTTTAAGTTTTCTGTTTGACGTTTATTCAGCTGTGTGAAAATCCCGGAGGAACCCACCCGATAGATTAATAACGTTTTATTTAATCTAATAATCTAAAACCTTTGATCTCAGCCAAATCGATTTACTCCGGAACAAATAAAACACAGAAAAAATGAAAACAATTACATTTTTAAGTGACTTATATATCGTGTTTAACCTGAGTAGCAAAAGAGCGGGGATCTGAAAACGATGAAGCGATTTCGCTGTTCTCGCCGACTCGAGTGACCACTGAACCCCCCGGCTTGCTATCGAGGTGGTGGGTAACAGACGTCTCTAAACGTCGGCGCACTTTTGCAAATATGTGATGTCTTGATAAACCAAGCGGATATTTGAAAGCTTCTTTCAAATATGTTAAAAGTTTATTTTGTGACCAAGAAAGAGTAATAAGACTAATTTTAAAACTTAGCAGCGGCCGCCATTGTTGGCAGCTGAAATTTTGCTGGGCCGTGCTATGAATTCTGGGATATGGTGGGCCGCAAAGGACACACCCGACCCATCCTTCAAATTCGGGGAAATGAAGGACTCATTTGACGGCCGCATTTGAAAGAGTCGATGAATTGGTTGGCTTAGATGCTGGCAGTTCTCGCTGCAGTCTGCTGGTAGCGTCTCCTTTCAGG